TTATTGGATTTTCAGTTGAATTATTCTTAAAGTTCAGGGTAATCAACTGTTAAAAACATACTTTTCACATTTTTTTTCTCCAATAAATTGATGTTTTCAAAGGAAATGGATAATAGTTTTTAATAATCGTGATATCAATTATTGACCCAAATAATCGAGATTATGATTTTTGCCATAATTGAGCCGCCCTAGCCAGAAGGACACCCTGTTATAACTCAACTTTCAATGGTATACGCACCGCACAGCTGGAGATTGGCATGTTGAAACAGGAAAGCCTTATATGTATGTTCTCAATAACTAATGCCTAACCCCCCCACATTGTTTCTAAATCTGACACTTTGGACATCCACTTAGGCCACGTTTGGAAAAAGGCTTCCCCTCAACATGGCTTATTTCAATTGTTTATTTATCACACTCAACAATTGAACCAACATAGCCAAATATTGCTGTTTAACATGACTATCACAACCAAATACAACATTTCTAACTAATTGCTGACTCTGAGAAAGTATAGTGCTATAAGATGTGCTTCTTCTCTCCCTTTTATATCATATTTAAGTGAATAGGTTTTTGGTTTTGGACTGACAGATCAAGAAATGTAAAGACATCACCTTTACCATTTTTCACTATCATTGTTAGCAGCCCTGGAGGTATTTCATAGAACACTGCTTAATCCCTATACATTCACAGTTACTGAGTGCGGCCTTACCCTGTAGACCAGTAACGGTGAGGGGAACACCCTGCTCCTGAACCCCCGCTGTGCCCAGCCCCGCGATGCTGACAGTCTGTACACCAGACCCTGGGTTGATCTGGGCTGCGCTCAGCGGTGCTCCACTCAGGGAGACCAGCCCTCCACTCCCCACGGCCGTCCCACCGGATATCGGGGCCAGTGTTAGCTGCTGTGGCATGGCCGTCCCCAGTCCACCCTGCAGGGAGACCCCGCCGGGCAGCTGCTGCGTCTGCCAGGACATCTGCCCAGAGTGGGACAGGGTTGGAGTACGGATAAGGACCTGGGCGGAGTTCTGGAAGGCCTGGATGGGCTGCAGGGTTTGTCCTGGGGCCAGCTGGATGGTCTCAATGTGCTGCTGCTGCTGCTGCTGCCCCTGGGCCTGACTCTGAGGCTGCAGCTGGATCTGCTGCAGAAACTGGTGCTCCATCTGGCCCACGATCACTTGCTGCATGCTTCCTGCCGTATCTATCTGGTGCTGCAGCCCGTTGGCTTGGACCTCGCCGCCGGCATTTGGGATGCAGTTGATCCCAGCTACTGCCTTCACCTTCCCAACAGGAAAGGAGAAGTGATGCACTTAACAACACAAACATTGGCAGACAAATAAAACAAACTCGCAAACCTTTCTGGATCATTCAAGGATCAAAGTGTATTATAATTCCCATAGTTGTTATACATTTTAATCCTTATATAATGCATGATCTATGTACTATCCTGAAGTTTATGCGTATTGCATTGCAAACTTGCTTAAGATGATCATTGTTACCAAACATATATAATTGTATCTAAAATAACTTTGCCGTTTTAAAGTATTATGATACTTCAACTTAAAAGTCATTATAGAAATACTTTATAATGTATTATAATATTCGTTATAAAGCAATATTAATGTCTATGAGTACTTAAACAGCGCTATAAGAAGATTCCAACCCATAATAAGTATGTTTATAATCCATTTTTAGAAATAACTGTCATAAAAAGTGTTTTCGTTTGCTCCAACCCACTGCTTCCCCCACTTTTCACCTTGCGTCCACCCGCTGAGCTGTCATTAGCCAAGGTGGTGGCCACCGTCACAGCAACAGGCTGATTGGTGTTCTCTTTGGCCATAGTGGGCGCTGCTGTGATGATCTGCCAGCCGTTCCCCGTGAATTGAGCCGGGACCAGCTCCAGCTGCTGGGGTACCAGGGTCTGACCTCCAGACGCGTCCAACACTATCTGACCCTGGAGCTGACCAGCCTGCAGCTGGAACTGACCTCCCTGGAGCTGGAACTGCTGGGCCCCCAACTGGGCCTGGGCCTGAGCCTGAGCCTGGGCCTGGGCCTGAGCCTGGGCCTGGGCCTGGGCCTGAGCCTGAGCCTGGGCCCCCTCCGTTACCCCCTGCCCTCCGATCTTACTGCAGGTGGCCGCTAGCAGGGCCAACGGAGAGGGCTGCGAGGAATCCTGGAGGAGAGAGGAACGGTTAAAGAGGAGTGGCGAGGGAAGGAGGAGAAGCTTGACAGGGTAAGAGACAGGCGGAAACACACAGAGAGCTCACATACATACACAAACAAGAAAGTACAACATATGAGTAAAAAAAGCCAAAGGGAAAGGGTGAGCCGGTATAAAAGTAAAACACACAAGGAACAATTTGAAACAAAGATGAGAGAAAAAGTGAGGAGTGGGGGAAAACACGGTGCACCAAAAAGAAACACAAAAAGCTGAGAGAAAGAGAGAGAGAGCTGTCAGTGGAAGTGGGCGGTATTACAGGAAGCGAGTGGGTGGGCGTGTGACAACCACATTTCTCTTTTCTCAGAACACTGGAAGAAAAAGCCGCCTTTTCTCTTTCACTCTCCTCCCTTTCAAAAGAACTAGGTCGCAAGCACATTTTTATGCTGTACATCTTGGAAACCGTCTAGAATCTATAACAAATATGGCAATGCTACAATGCTTTTCTTGCAGGTCTCACACAGAGAGATGTATTAAAGAATAACTGTCTGTCTTAAATGTATCTAAAAGGTATAAACAACCTATAAAAATATGTGTTTAGCAATTATAGAACAATACCAACACTGCAGTTCTTTTAAAAAGTAAATCCACATGAATTCAATTATTTTTGACCCTATTTCAAATGGACAACTCAAAGATAAAGAGGCTGAAGTGTGACAGCCATATAAGCCTATTCAAGAGTCTCTCAGAAGGGCTGCACAGAAGCAGGAAGTGGAATTCACCAGAGAAACGCCCCCAGTGTGTCTGGCTGGCTGGGAGGGAGGGAGTACATTTTGGCCTACAGGCAAGGCAAAAGTAATGAAGTATGATAAAGTCATATTTGTTTTCTGTACCTGAGATCCAGAACTTTTCCCCTTCTTTGATGCTTTCCCTCCTTCAGTTCCAGATGATTCCTTCTTGGAGTCTGTCAAAAAAAGAGAGTATAAATGTGAGAATATCTCCAGTTATAATATCTTTGCATTTCTAAATAAAACATTATAAGGTCATGTAAACACTAAGTTGCCTCAACAAAAATCTGATCATAAATGCAGATATATTCAAAACAAAAGTCATCAATAAAGATAAACCAGTAACCTCATCATCAATATGAAAAGGGTCTCCTATCTGTCAGACAGAGAGAGAGAGGGGGGTGGAGACGGAGAGGGGGGAGGGTACCTACCACTCATAACGCATTAATATACCGAGAGAGAGAGGGTGTAGTTCACGGTAGAAGGCCGGCCGGGTACGGAGGCGGAGGACGGGCTATATGTTCGGCACTGGGCCGTGTCGGATCTGCCCGTTTGACGAAACCACCCACCGGCCAGGAAGGGCGGTGCCAAGCGCAGGCACAATCAAACAGCCCCTAGATAACGGAGATAACGGAGAACACAGTGAACGTCACCGGCACCCTCGCAGCCACTCCGTATGTCTCTTTTACCGTAAAGCCAGTCCATATACGAGCAAAGTGGCGCTTGTCAGAATAATATCCACAGAGAAGTTGGCAGTGTGTGACCGTAGAGGCCCACCCACTTCCATTTAAGCATCAGGACAACACCCTCTCCGTTGCTCCTGCCTGTCGCCGCCGCTCCTCTCGCAGCACGACGCGGGGACGCCTCGTCGCCGTCCGTCGTGCACCGAAAACACACCGTCACCAGTGTTTGTATTTAAAGCGTATTCTCCTTTTTTTCTTGCACAATTGGTTTTTTAAGGGGAAGATACGGTGAGATAGCTGTGGCTTTTGTGGGCGGACGCGCTCCTCCCATATATTCAGATTGGACGACGGGGCTCGGCGTGCGAGGGTCGAGATGGGAGTTGTATTTTGACGAGGCCTCGCCTTCTCGAGCTCGGTTAGGCTGCCGTGACTACAACTCCCAGAATGCATCGGTGCCTCAGTAGGGGCTGGCGGAGGTAGTCACGTTGGTGTGAGAGCAAGGCGAAGGGCGGTGACTTCTGTGTAGTGGGGGTTGGGCGAACGGGAAAAGGGAGGTGTGTGTGTGTGTGTGTGTGTGTGTGTGTGTGTGTGTGTGTGTGTGTGTGTGTGTGTGTGTGTGTGTGTAGGAGAGTGAAGGAGAAGATAAACCAACGTGCACCTGACATGTTTTATAATATGGAAAGCTATTTGTATATATTATTTTATGTTACAATGTTGCCTTTTCATGAAATACTTAAGAAATTCATTACATTTAGCTGAGGTCTTTATCCAAAGCGACTTACAATGAATGCAATAAACCCTAAATATTCAAGAAGAAACAAGCAAGTCCATTGTAAGTGCTGGTGCATAAGTGAAACCCCTAAATACTAGAATATATATATATTTTTAAAATATATTTTTATAATGTGTATAAGGTACAAGAGAAACAGGTGGGTTTTCAGTTTGCACAGGTGGGTTTTTTAATTCAACAGTCCCTATTCACAATCTTGAGTCAACTTTGAACTTATATGAGTAAAAAGAGTACTTTGTCATATTATAATATGAAACAATGTTTAGTCTCACCTGGGCCCTAACCACATATGCAGGTATCTGTCTCTCTCTTCTTACAGCTGGCATCCAACCTGCGTTTTGCAGGACTTTGAGAACCTTCATAGCACACACGCCACACATGCAATGCACTCCTTTCATTGCTGACATATGCACATTGTTGTTTTTGTGTGGACCTTAGTTTAATAGGTAATTCCCTTTTTGAAGTAGATTTGTCATTTAAAGGTGGGGTAGGTCATTTTGGAGAAACCAGCTCGAGTACGCTAGAATTTGAAAATACACAGCTGGAAAAAATCTGCCACTTCCTTACATAGCCTCTCCTCCAACACACACGAACGCGCACATGACCAATGAGGGCACGAGATAAGTTTGTGCACATGATTGGTCGTGCTTTTTACAGCGCTACGGCTTCTACAGATGAATTTTTTTAATGGATTTTTTGTCAAAACACTTAAGATATTCATTGCTATCGGGATGTTAAGAGCATTCCATGGAATATAACAAAAAGTGTATCTCGAGCCGGTTTCTCAAACTTACCAAACACACATGTGAAATGTGAGGATGTGCTACTTTTTCTTAATATCATTGTAAATTGAAATTATATTCAAAGTACTTCCTATAATAATATTTGGCTTCAAAAATCCCTTTCATACCGTAGTCAAACTAATTCATTTAGATGGAAAAGAGCAGCAGAGAAAATAAGTAATATTTGTTGCAGTACCAGCAATCACACACATTTCTTGTTTGTGTACCACCTTTCTGGAGGAGAAGTCATGTCTCCCACCCACGCGGCAAAAACTCTTTCAATCGTCCTAAGGGAATTTTAAATGATAATTCATCACAGCAAATATGTTGAGGAATAATAGGCCTGGGCCCCTGCCCTGTAAGTCCTCTTCTTCAGAGGAACCCTCTCTGAAGGAGTGACTTTCGCCTTGTGGAGTCACAGCCTTGTTTCAAAGAGCAGAAAACATCCTTAGCCGGCACACAAGGGAAATATTTAGACTTAAAGGCTAGAGCATAACCCTGACACAGAGGCCCTGTCTCTATAAGATGCATCCAGTCCTTTTAAATCACAAGTCAGGATAATACTGAAACCCTTTTATTGATATCTTTTTCAAAATTGAGCTCTTTAATAGAATAGAACTTGAAAAGGAAATAATAGGATTTCCACATGAATGGATGTTTGATGTGGTGTTATTGTTAGTGTTGTCATGATGCAACATTTCATATAAAAGACTTGGGTTTCAAATCTGACTTTTCTTCATCAGAGGCAAGATACTATTCAACATGGCTGCTAGAAGCCTACTATAGCCTACTTTTGTGTTTCTTTTTGGTCATGAGACTATTAGTCTCAGCGTGCTTTCACTGTCAAACTACACACACACACACACACACACACACACACACACACACACACACACACACACACACACACACACACACACACACACACACACACACACACACACACACACACACACACACTGTAATTACTGCGGAAGCCAAGTGCCTTGTTCCCGCCCCCTGGGCCACTCGGCAGGGCGTTGCTAAGCAACGAGGTCTGGTCTGAAAAGGGGTTGTTGCATGTGTGATTGTATGGTGGTGATGGGAGGATGGTCTATGGACTGTTATAGATAACTGTATGCCACACAAGAAAGCCCATCTCTAATATTCAGCGTTATAATACCAGGGATGTATTCACAGCTGCATTCATCTTAAAAAAAGTCACATTTAACTTGTAGGGATCATACTGAAAAAGTACTGGGATGGGTCTACACATTTAAGACATGAAGGATCCTCAAATAATGAAATATTCATTTATGTTATTACAATGTGGAGAAAGTGAAAGTGGCTGTTAAACTTGTTTTCCAGTTGCCTCCACTAGATGGCGCCATATACCAGATGGGGTTTCACACAGTAGTTATTGTTGTCATAAGATATATAGAGATATAACTTTTTGATACCCAGACGGACATTTGGATGTTACAGTTGCATACATACATAAATGGTTTACATAAACAAAGATAAATTAACAGAATCAATAAAACATGTTCAATAAAAAAATACATTCACCTTCCTTAGATGTAGTATTCAGAGCTTTTATTCAGTAAAGAATAGACGTTTTGCAATATATGATTGTTACAAGTAAAAGTCCTACTATGGGCAACATAATTAACCTAGATGTTCAAAGTAAAAGTACTCATTTGTGTCCTTTTTATTGTTTTTATTTCATGCATTAGGGTTTACTCTTTAAAGATGGGAACTCTCCATGTTGGCAGGTTTGTATCTCTTACATGCAAACTCCATCTGAGAGAAGAGCTCAATGTCTTCAATTTGAACATTAGAGTCAAGTTTAATCTTGTTATGTTAAATGGACTGAAACTAAACTGCACATGTATATGGACTTCCGATGCATATATTTTTGCATTTTGTAAAATCTTGACATGAAGATTGATCAAAGCTATTCCATCAGTTTTTATTTTTTGAGTCGTTGTTGGCCAAAATCTGAAAAAGGGTTCATCCTTTAATATACAGACATCAACACTGTAATTCACTCATACTTCTACCCCTCTGAGGGACGGAGCATCATTTCAAACACCTCTGATGGATTTGATTTGCATGTTGGAGGTGATTGCATTTTCCAACTAATTCAAGATGTCCCATAAGTATGATAAACTATAATGTCTTCATGCAAAGGAATGCAAAGTTAAATGGTGCACCAATGCATAAGCATGTTGGCATGTGTGAGTCAGTGAACAGTTATGATTGTTTGCATGAAATCCCCCAGCTTTGTGCAATCGTATGCGTAGGTGTGCATTTGTCACACAGGCCTCGGCGTCAGGATGTCTCCCTTTCCTAAAGGTTAGGTTGTAAAGAGAGAGATTTATGACTTCTACCGTGAGTTCTGGCAGATGCCTCCGTTGTTCATACCTTGTGTGTGTGTGTGTATTTGAGAGGACGTGTTGACAAGTGATAACAGACATGTTTGACACAACTTTCCTCTAACAAGCTACAAGGTGTTATTAGATGAGATAGATAAACTGGATAGTCATTCTGTACTCATCCTTTAGTGCCAGTAAATGTGCATGACAACAGATTATGTCACTGCTTTCCTTTGGCTCCCCACTGAAGCATATATATATGCATACACAATTTGGGATTATTGGGAAACTATAGCTCAACAGATCTAGTTCCTCTTCTATGCTTGAAATATGAGCGCAGTAACCTGAGAAGATGTATTGCGTAAAAGTTCGTTTTTTAATTCTGGAAACATGACGCATCACTTTACACTGTACTGGAAGCTTTGGGAAAGTTGGCAGAGTTGCACTATGATGACAGCTGACTGATTGATGCTTCCTGTATGCTGTCTGGATCAAGTGGAAAACAACCGGTGAGTCTCAGTGGGCCTGGTGCCAGTTCAGGGTGTGGGTGGGACACATGTCTAACCACCTTTGTTTGGGCGAATCTTTCTGTGGCTGGATGTTTTACCATAAGCACACTAGCCATATGATTTCACAGAAGTTATCAGTTGTTCACGTTTTTAAAAGCCAGCTGAAGAGATATAGTGTTTTTCCCAATCCCTTTTCGACTTGTGAGGACATTTTATTTCCAATGCACGTTGCTATCTGACCTCATATATGAAAATGTGTTGTGTATTTGGTTTGAATAAGTAAAAAACATTACAGGGAATCTCCTTCAGACTGATGGGAAAGTATGTCTCTGTTGGTCGTTCAATGTGTGTTTGTCTGTGTGCCTGTAACCGTCTTTGACACATGGCAATACTCAAAAGAAAAGAAAATATTCACATTTTTACCTCCAATACATTCTAAAATCAATATCAAGCACATGTTGAATATCATAAATGACTGTTTGTGTTTAGAGTAGCTTGCGCAACATAATAAATAGGAACAAAATGACCACTTAAAGTAAAATGCAGGTTGCTGCAGGTCTCCCTTGAAAAAGAGATCTATGATCTCAATGGAACCAATCTGGTTAAATAAAGGTTTGAAATTAAATGAAAATGAACATTACGCTTTATAAAAAAGCTCTTTCAACACAGATTCTTTAAGCATGTTCTCAATAAAAGTTGTTTACCAACAACACAAGAAATGTAAACAGCTTGTATGGTGGAAAAGAAGAAGTGTTCAGGTAATTAAAACAATCGTTACAGTATGAACTTATATGACATCTAAATATAAAGCATGTTTTGTGACATAATTTGCTGGTTGTCACACCCTCCATTATTTTATTCCT